TATTTTTCCCGATCATAATCTAGATGCTTCCTTTGGGCGAAAAAACTGCCAAAAATGTTGGCGAGTTCTCCTATTGTCGCAAGTGGTCTAGTGGAGTGTTCACAGACGCAAAAAACATGTTCAACGAAGCCGTCCGTCTTCCGGATTTGGTAGTTTTTCTATCCACGCTCAGCCCGATTGCCCAGCCCAGTGATGCGGTTCGAGATGCTGCGAAATTATTGATTCCAACCGTCGGTATTGTGGATACCAATTCAGACCCCCGTCTTGTTACCTATCCCGTTCCGGGCAACGATGATAGTCCAGTCACTGTGCGGCTATGGTGTGCACTGTTTGCTGAGGCAATCACACGAGGTAAACGACGAGCCGAACGTGATNGACCAGCAAATGTTTGTACATACGAAGTCGAATGTAATAAAATGATTTTATTCTAATCTTTCCAAAAATTCATTCTTACAGGGACACGTAACTGAGGGAACGAAAGAGAGAGAGAGCAGTGTTAGTCACAAAGTATCGTTGTTGCGGTCGATAAGCTCCCTTTCCCACCTGTTCGCTTGTGAACGCGTTTCATCATTAACAGCCCAAGAGGCCATTTTATACCACAAACTCCAAAACTAACATCAAACGGCTATGGAACGTCTTTGCACACAACCTGCTCAGTCTAGCGAAAGGTTGACCATGTGAGACAATGACTGTTTGAGGGAATTCGCCGGGTACTTTTTTTATTACACACTTTCGTGTGATGAACAGTAGACGGGGTGGACCCCATAGTCACGAAGACCTGCTGCTCAGTGATGGAAACCGGTAACCTAATCCTCGAGACTTGGAGTGACAAACCGCCTAAGGCACCAACAGGTTAGGTGTGGTATTAAACTGAACCACAGCACAGCTGCCTACCACCAAAGTTGGATGGTGGCGGTCGGGCTCGGACCATAGGGTTCAAAGCACGCCTGTGACAGCGACTAAACCACTGCGCCACCATGCAGTGGGCGCACTGTATGCACTTAGTTTCTTCTCGCGACCAACGAGGTTTGCCTTGCTTCACAATAACCAAGAAAAAACAAACGCAACAGCATAATAATGTTATCCATATCCTATCGTGTTCAAATCCACGGTTTACGTTTGAGCATTGCTACTCACTCCAGGGTGTTTTGTGTGCGTTCAATTAACAACGCTTTGCTTTGTAAAATAGTACCAGTTGTAGGCGAGCGCGTTCTAGTTGACCATCATTGAAGGCTTGGAATTTTAATTACTGACCAATAAGTTGGACTGGGCAGGGTACAGTCGACTTTACGAAGAAGGAAACATCAAAGAGATAATGTTGGGCGACGGCGGTTGTGGTGAGATTCGAACATGCGACTTTCGGGACAATACCACGAAGACATGCACCTTATACATAACAAAAAACGAGAAGAAGTACAAAAAAGGTTGTGTTACGTCTGAGTTCGGTTCCTATGTAATGCTAGTGTCTTCAGTTGCTGTAAGAGGTTCAACTAGGGGACTTTACCCTGAACCTTGGGCAAAGTGGACTAAGCCATAAGGCCTCTTCAAGTCCGAGATCCGTCGAGGACTGATGTCTGTCTACTTGGTCGGATCATACACCCATCGCTCTACAGGGATTCCTGAAAGCAGTTCATACATCTCACAGGTGGTTTAAATTTAGGGTTTCCCAACTAGAGCCCGTTGAAGGTCAAGCACCAAACCCATTGGATGCTGGTTGTTCAACCCAACATTTCAATGAAAACACCCTTATCGCGAAGATGTAGCGGGTTGGGCTTTCCTCTGAATGTTCGTGAAGGCAGGTCACTAAAGAATAGTACGGAAGAAGACAAGGATAGTAAAATCAGTTCAGAAAAACAGCCATCGCTGACTGTACCAAAGTGTCTGAAGGCGATTTTCCCCCAACTACATGAAGGTACATTGGACATGAACTTTTCCATAACTCAGTTTTGACTCCCTTCCATCAGGAATATAGAACAAAGCATTGATGCGAAAAACTACCGTAATAATTCACGAATAAATCTGCAGGCTCGTACGATTTGGTCTATCGCTCCAGTCGATCTGTCTGCATATTTGAACCCTACGGTTCTATGGAACAGATTACTGTTCGACGATAGACACATTAACGCTTTAAGCTTCCTCAACTGCGTACCACAGTTTCCACAGTTAAGATAGAAAGCCTAATCAGGTTCTCAATTGTACACCTTCATGCGGACGTTTGTTTGGTTCAGTCAACAAGCGGTCGTCAATTTGCAGGAATCAAGTGCTTTTGTTGCATTCGAAAATAGCTGCTGAAGAAAATACAGCGTAGGACAAGCCATTGTCAAGTTTTTATATCAAAAGTAACTGATATACATCATAATGAATATTTGCATTGGTCAATATAAATCTGTTGATGAGTTCTGTTGCCAACAATCTCGATGCCGAATCAAGCTGAGCCCGGTTGAAAACGACCCAGAATACCCCAATGATCGGATGGAAAACATCGCGTTCCCGGTACTCGTTCCAAGCCCCGTAAACCAAAGTCCACCGGTCGTAAGCAAGAGCCATGCACATACATCCGATCGTAACGAAATGTGAATGATCTCCCATGTGGTCCACGTCCGCCAAAACCCAAGCGACTTGCATTTGTGTTCCGTTGAGGGTCCCATGTGTTGCGCAATTCCGGTCGACTACCGGTCACCTGCCAGGCATCTTCAATGCCTGCCGGAAGGCCACCCAGTTCTTGCACCTGTATCACACAAAAATCGATATCAATGGATGCACAGTTGGTTCACTCGCCTAATGGGGGTGCGGCAGTAGGTAGAAACGCAATACGCTCACATGTCACCGTTTACGGGAAACCCTTGCTCGTAGAAAATCATCATCTAGTGTGAAGGTAAAACTTACTACGACGACAATCTAATCTTTAAACGAGAACAAAATAATCCTCGAGATTTTATCTCCACGTACAATCAATCCCAAGTCCATCCAGTCAGCCATTACAGTCGAGAAGCTTCCCGGATGGCTGATGGAACTGAGGAGTTTGCATGAAGATGAAGTTCGAAGGATGGCCAGGCCAAATCGATGTCATCTACTCCACACGAATAGTCACAAATCACTGTAAATTGTTAAAAAACAGGCCGTCTGGGGGTTACTCAACTGGCTTGATGCAGCATATTTTATCAGTAGACGACATGGATAGTTCGAGGAGGCATAATTTCCAGAGATAGAAGTTTAAAATGGGATAATGTAGCTGTGAAAAATTGACATGCGTGGTGTCAGAGAGAGCAGAGATTACGCCATCAGATCGTTACAAACTGTTTCTGGGTGCACAACAATGAATGACAGGCACGGATGGTTATCGCCTGAGTTGTTGACAACATTTGTGATTTTATCTCTGAATAAAATTTGGACCGTATGTGGGAGAGGGTGGACAGCCTCACGCTAATCTACTGTGATTAGACTTGGTCAAATTTTCCGTAACTGCCCAGGAGGTGAACGGGACGAGATGCCCGCAACAAGCGGTCTGATCAGCTACCCGTTGGCCGAGTGGGCAGCATGCCTGCGCTCTCCGTGAGAGATCCCCAGTTCGGTCGGTGGATTGTACTGCACGGATGAGACCCAACCAGGTTCAAACAGCTGTCCAACGCTTCCTAGTTTGTCAGTTCCCGTCTCATTTGCTCTATACACGACGAATTCATCCTATCAAATTGAATCAAACCCTCTATTACTCTCAAGCAAAATAGCGAATTCTTCTATGTATTTCGAAAGCCGCCCGTTTTCTAGTTTCGTCACGCCATGTTGATGGTGGTCCTAATGACGAATTCACGATCATTCTGTCAAATATGTGCTCGGTTGAGTGAAGATCACTAGCCAGGCGATAAAGTATCACGTTCTCCGCCAACACCACTGTTCCACTGCGATCGTTTATGGGATGAGATAGGACTCGCTTCTTCACGTACACAACAGCAGATTACTCACAACTCGGACTGAATCAACTGACGATGTCGTCTCATTTGTTGTTTGAAATCGATTCAGTTGCAATGATTGTGAAATTCTCAGTTTAACCAGCTTAAATAATACACCATTATGATTCCCGACAAATTTTCCAGCGTAGCTCATCCAGCCAAAACAATTTCACATTTGTTCCAATAGAAAATCGTACACGCACTAACCTCAGTATCTCTCAAATTTAAATCACCACAGAAAATGGCCGCACGAGGACCAGGCCGGTTGTTGTTGACAGAATTAGACGTGGAACCAAACTGGATCATCCGTGACCACGCGTAGCTCAATTGATCTTTTCGTTTCTTCGAACTCTCTCGACAACTTTCCAAATGTGAGGTGAATAGACGCACAGTGATTGTGGAAGAGATACGGTTGCTGGTCAGTTTGTCACAATGAATAGTCAGATCGATCCAGACCAGTTGACGACCCATGGTGGAATTCGGATAGTTATGAACCTAAAGGTGAACAACGAAACCTGTCAATGGCTGGACACCTTATTGAGTGCACGGGGTAAGTATGTGTAGTTCATGAGAACGTCAATGAGAGAGAAAAAAAAACGAGAACATGCGAACAGGAAAATTTCAAACACTAGTAGAGGAAATGCCAATGCTAAACGACACTAAAAGTAGCTACAATCCACACGAAAAATAACCTAAAAATTCGAGTAGAAAACAGCTATCGTCAAGTGTCTCAAATGACCTCTGCTGAGGAAGTCCTCAACGGCTTCGAGTGATGATATCCTCCGTCTCAGTGACAGGATGAAAAGCACATATCCGGGGGTTGTACTGAACTCAGTGGACCCCCGCCCCCCACAGTTCAACTAGGGGAGCTGTCTAAAAAACCCAGAATAGCCAAGAAGAGGTGTGAGAACCACATACCCACCTTTCTGGTTATAACCCTGGCTGGTCACCCGGTTGATTGTGCATTGAAGTGTTTGGGGCACTTTGAACATTTGACCCGCGTTCAAAGAATGCATGATTCGATGAACTGAACATCAGGTGACTAATATTTTTCGGGTTTGACGCGAAACTCCGCCGCCTTCGGTTGTGAATTCCACTCATCTGTTTTGGCACGGACAATATAGCAGTATTCCGCTCACGTATAAATCCGTAGGGTAACAAATTTCCCGAAATGAACTTGAACAGAGCAAANAGAGCAAATTTGAACAGTCGCAAAATTTGTATTCGGATACTGTATCTCATCAGATGCATACTACAGATGATATAATATTAAGGATCATCGGAAGTCATTTGTTTGACATAAAGCATCGGTTAAACCGAACTACTGCAGTCTCAGTGATCCTATTATATAATCTGTAGTATGAACTCTGATGAGATGCAGTGAAGTATGTCCGAATACAAAATTCTGTGATGTACGCCCTTCTATCCTCGGGGTACGAATCTCTTTGTTATACAGATTATTGAAGCATGATTTTTCCGCAAACAGTCTATACTCAGAGGTGTGTGAAATATGATTATACTGTGATATATCTGTAATCACTGGAGTTTGTCAAAACCCGTTATTATGTGCACAGTGTTGCTAATGAACACGGAAGCCGTCAAACATCGTTGCTGCGGATGTGATCAATCTCACATGCATGGAGTAAAATAACAGGAGGGAGGATCAGGATTGAGATATCGAGTGAAAATTTCTCCCGGTAAACAGGATAACACCCAGATTTATCGGGAAGACGCCTGAAAGGGCAGAATGTGTTACTGAAACTGAAAACATACGCGAAAACTAGATTGGTCTACATCGATCGCGGGATGGCGCCGAATCAGGAGCACAACGAAATAGTGTGCACAATCACCGAACGGATTATCCGTGGGACTGAAAATCCAGTAGTCGTCTTTCAGCAGTTGTTGGAACTGTTGCAGTGTAACCGAGGTGACCTCTTGGAGACAGACAGCATGAAGTGGTTCACTGAGGTGGTGTTGGCGAAAAACACAAAAAAAATATGTGAATGAAAATAAATCAACCACGATCCCGGTCGTGATATCGCTGAAGGAAACAAAGGTAAAACAGAGTAGAATTCCCCCGTCAGTTCACATCCGAGTGACCGGCTCTTGTGCGGACGAAAGGCAAGCTATAACTGATCCATTAAGTGTGAGCAGAATGGCAAAGAATGGTACATACTGGGTATGCGAGTGCCCGGTTTAACAACCATTGATTCAAGGACATATTCTGATTGTTTCGTTCCTGAATCGCTTGACTAGGTACTCGTTTAAAATTCACAATGTCGTATCCCAGTTGTGTCACTTCTATCGCTTTCACCGGTGCAATAGAGCGCGTGCTGTGATTGTATTCTTAGCTGGATATGACGACAACAAAAATGAAACTAAAGCATGTTTCTCATTGACATTAGACACACTCGAAACTCTCATCCAAACACATAATACAAAGTATGCACAGAAGTATAACCAGATGATCGTTTTTGAGAAAACTCCGGGTTCCATATTGCACAGATTTTAGACTGAAATCCGGCCTAATTGTCCAGTGGGAACTGGTCAGGTGCGTTTAACAAATAAGAGGGAAAAAACTCCAAAATTCGTTTCGAGCGGGAACAAGGCCTAAGCTCATCCTTCTGTGGTTTTGTCTCACTTCCCTGTCACGATCAACCTCAAAGCGGTGGTCTATCAGTTCAAATACAATACCATTACCATACAAGATATGTTAAATTCTGATATCAGAGCTAAATCGTCCTGTAGAGGGAGAAATTTGACATGTACGTTTCTTAATGTTTTGGAAGTCCACAACACAGAGCGAAACAGTATCAATTTACGATGTTGTGGTCATAAAATTCTCTGGTAATTACCGTCGGTCAGTCTGCGATTTCATTTTATCCGCTTGATTCTATTCAGCGTGTATTCGCAACTAGCGTGATTAGGTCGCACGGGGTCTAAGATAGAAATATTATCTCTTATTCCGGATGCAGATAGCGTAACTGTTCATACTTATACGATAACAACAGGCAATTTGCTTTATGATGAAATCATAGAATTACCAACCCATGTCTGTGTCCAACAATTATTTTATCTCTCTTTCTCGTTTCCCTCCTTGCATCAATCATCTATGATGGAATGGAAAAGGAATGAGAATACAGAGCAGTTTGGGTCGAAATGCACCGGAGACAACAAATCGTCGAGCAACAGGACCGCATGACCAAACTCGGACCAATGTGTTTGGAAAAGAAACATGCCTTGCACGTACTCTATCCCTTATCTGGAAATTTCGACTTGGAGATCAGTCGAAGACTACTAAAATGTGATACAATAAGAAAACTGACCTATTAAGAGAGAGTAACTAATGTGAAGATTCGATCAATACCTCCGCGATCGGTACGAAACCAATCGTGTTCCTCTGGAATTAGCCTTTGTTGCTTTTCGACACGATAAGTGGATTAAAAATAGACGCTAGAAACCCACGGTGTCACAGTCAATAAAACTATCACTCCTTAGACTAGTACCACAACTGTGAGGATCTATTCCGGAGACGGACGTAGCCACTGGTCTCCGACAGGGAGGGTAGGCTCTGGTGGTGACCCAAATTCTACAGAACAGTCTTTGTACTGTTCTTTACAATCACATTTCACCTTATTTCGATGCGACTAGAGGCGGATCAATTGTGACGTATCGAAGGCAGTGGTTTTGTCCGGACAGATTATCGGCACGTGATCAAACTACTTAAGTGATTAAGCACGAGTGTGTGTGTGTGCGAGCGTGCGGTGTACTGAAATGAGCGAACAGGCTGCATCGAATTCTGTTTCACAGACACTGCGTGTATCACATCGAGACTTGATAGGATTCGCCCATTCAAGTCTAGTGACTTCAGCCGCGGTTTCCATCATCAAACAGGATATACTTTTTTCACTACACACTGTGTGATAAAGAACAGACGAGGTAAACTCCATAGCCCCGGCAGTTCGTAGTGGTGAACTCCTCGGTTAGGCTTGGTACGGAACCGGACGACAACAAAGCTGTCTACCAACACTGGAGGCTATTGGGTTCACAACTTCGGCTGTTCCTTGGGCGATGGAGAGCATCCGAAACGGGGTGAGAAAACATACGTCAAAGACTTATCACAAATGTCCTCGGTTCATGATCATCATGGGAAACGGGAGTACAAATACAAAGAGCTATGGGTAAGGGCGGGGGGGGGGG